CACATCCGTTTACACATTCACCTTTAAGCAGAGAACAGTATCACAAAATTCAGAGAAGTGCACCATCCGAAGGATAATCTTGTTCCAAACCATTTGGAACAAGGGTAGAATTAGGTTGCTTCACTTAATAACACAGAGCAAACGAAATTCTCCTCCAGTGCTAAAATGGGTGCATTTTAGATTCCAGTAACAACATGAACTACGAAAGGTTACATGAAAAGCCACCCTAGATATTTTTTGTTGCTGACTCCTCCAATGCACGCATTATATAATAGCAGTAATTAAACCATTTGCTTCCCACCTCTAGGTGTAATGAGTGCTAATGGGTATTCCTAATGAGAAAACTGATGAGCCCCTACTCTTCTATAATTCATCAGTAATCAGCATTTGACTGTTTTTGCTGTGTGTTCACTTTAATTTGACTTTGCATTCATCTAAAGACAAATGTAACCCAGAGGGGAAGGAAAAAACTCCAGTATGCCTTAAACTTAGAGCCCACACCATCCAAGCTCAATGAACAAACACCATCTGTCATAGAACCTTCAAGGCTTTCCTTAGCTTGTTTCTTGTCTGTGTTGATTAAATCAGTCTAAGAGTTTTACTGCGTTCATCTGCCTATGTCAATCGGCCTCTCCGATTTGTCTAGGCTTTCCACATCTGGAATAGGAGGGCAGCCATTCAGTATGGATCTGCTAATGCTCTTGCCAGCGGCAAGCATGGGCTTTTTTTTTATTCTGGTGAGCACATTTATGGTGCCTGTCCCAGCCCCAAGTAAGAGGTGAGTGGGAGGATCTTCCCTAGTCTCATGATCTCTGAGAACTTCCAAAGCTCAGAACTTGTTGTGATGGCTATATGTGTCCTCCAAGACCAGGGGCACCATGCTTCTGAATACCAGCCACTGGAGAACAACAACAAGAGAAGTCTCTTGTACTCATATCTGGGAAACAATATGCTAGCCTAGACAGACCTTTGGCCTTATCTAGAAGAATTCTTCTTATGTTCCAACACTAAATCTGGTGGCAACTACAAACATAGCCAGCCCATCAATATAGTGTGTATTCTTATGAATGAGGATTAGATGGATTTATAGCCTGAAAGATGGGATATAAATGATTGATGGTCAGAGTCAGGCCTGAGGTTGTCATAGAATGTGAACACTCACTAATAATATCCTTTAAACAAAATTAGCAACAGACAATTTTTTTCTGGATCCACTTAGTTCCCATGAAAATTAATAGATGTTGAGTTAAATCCTGATGAATTGGTTCCATTGATTTCAGATTTGCAAGGCTTGTTGAGGGCAGTAACTCATATTCACATTGAATTAGACACCGCTGTTGGTAAATGGCATGGAAGCAATATGCAGATGATACCAAGCTCTTGTTTCTCCAGGTGAAGGTGTGCAAGTGCCGGATTGGTGTCTGGAGGCAGTAATGGGCTGGATCAGGGTAAATAAACAGAAACTGAATTCCAGCAAGATAGAGGTTCAGATGGTAGACAGATCCATGTTGAGGATTTGGATAAAAGGTCTGTGCTAGATGGATTTGCCCTCACCTGAAGGAACAGGTTTGTTGCTTGGTGATACTTCCTGATTCTGCACTATATACTCAGGTGACCTCAGTAGCAAGGAATGTGCCAGCTACAGCCATTACTGGAATGGAATAGTTTAGCAACAAGTACCATGCCCTGGTAACCTCCTGTTCAGATTATTATAATGTGCTGTACATGAGGAAATCTGTAAAGACTGTCTGGAAGCTACACCTAGCGTGGAGCACAGCCACCAGGGGTGTGAGTGGTTGTTTTATTTGGGACCATATAAGACAAATATTGCACAAACAGTGTTCACTACCTATATGCTACTAGGCACAATTCAAAATTTTCTTGCCCAATTAAAAAGCCCTGAATTATTTGGGCTCCATGTACTTGAAGGAGAACCTCTCCCATTATCTCCTGTCCTTTGCCTGAAGATCTTCTGAGGAGATCTTCCTTGCAATCCCACTGCCAATAATACCATATAGGGAGGAGGTGTGGAGAAGGGCCTTCTCAGTTGTAGAGCCCTTTCAGCACAACTCTGTCCCCCTAGAGATAAGGTTGACTCACTTCTTACTGAATTTTAGGTGGGGTGTGAAGACAACACCTTTTTAATCTGGCCTACAGGACAGAGTGATGCTGTCTACTTTTTAGTGTCTTCATGTTTACAATGCTGAACACTAGCATTTTTAGAAATTATATTTTATTTGATACCCGTTACCCTCCTTCTGATAAATCATCAGTTCGATTTTGCTAGTATTATCATTTCAGCTCATTTACCTGGGATTACCTTGAAATCAATGGGACCAGCTTCTGAGCAGACATGCATACCATTGAGAACAGTTCCCAGACTTTAAAAATACCTCTTCTCTTCCTGTAGAACAAGATTCATTGTGGACTCAGCTGAGCATTTGATTAGAACGATGTTCAAAAAATACATCCCTCCTCAATACACTTAATCCTTCACCCACTTTTCCAACCACAAAAATATGTACAGCCCTCAGCGTAGTCTGTTCACATACTGTTGCAAACTAACAAATTCTGAGACAGTACATGCCACTTAACAGCCTTTAGTCTCTCTCCTGGTCTAAAGTCAACAGTTCTGCTTAGAATCTGTTCGTTTCTCTGTTGCTGACAGACCATGGCTGTTATAAAGAGATGGCCCTGGGGGTCCAAGCCGTGGGTCTCCTGCCCCACTACTGACCCTTTTTGTAAGTTGTTTCTGGCTGTGTTGTCTAAATGAGGGTTGCCACATGTTTCCTGGCAGCGCCCCTTTGCCCTTGACAGCTCTTTGGTGGGCAGGAAACATTCTCAAATGAAACATGCTGAATCCATCCCATTATGCAGAAACTTCTAAAGATGCTGGTAGTTTTTGACCTCTCTCTTTTCACCATTATAAAAGGAGAAGATTTTTATTAAAAAAAAAAACTTTCAGGTAGCATAGTAAATAAACACTCAGCCTTATTTTTCTGTGCCAAAAATAGGGACAAATGACCCCCTAGGAGACCTCAAGATGTTTACTGCTTCTTTCTGTCTCTTACATTCACTACCCTGGAATAAATCTGTTCTGTTCCCTGTGGTTCCCTATCAAGAGCCACTAGCCAAATCAAACCATCACCATTATGTCTGTAAACATCTCTTAACGTCCCACAGCAACTCCTAACATCACATTTCTGTGTTCCATGTAAACAAGAGAAGCAGAGAATCCTCAGGTTCCCCCCCCTCCCCTTCAAATAAAGCCCTTGTTCCCCTGTCCTCAAATGTGGTCTGTTAATTGCTTCTCCAGGAGCAGACTTGGGTCATCCTTTGAGAATGAAGTTGTTATAAAATGGCTGTGTTGACAGATGGTACAAATGGCATAACTAATCAAATCTACCATGGTGTTTTCATGGCAATGGGGAATTATCGCTGTGCCAGTAAATGAAAGGCTTATTAAATGTTGTGTTCTAAGCAGGAAATACATTGTAATGATAGCTTACAGAGTCGTAATTTGGGGATGCAACAATGATTATATGCTCTGTGACGGATGAGCCTCTGACATATGCCTTGGAAACATTTTGCAGATAGCTTCACTTGGAGCCAAAACTATCACTTCTGATAATGCAGCTTTTCAGTAAGGCTTTTTAGGTTCACCAGTGCCTCAGCAGAAAGCGTCAAATAAGCAGTGCCCTTAGGTCTTTCAAGTTCCTTAGGGCAGAGTAATCCAGATAACTTGCTTGTTCCACATGTTTTGGTCAGGAATTATTTCAGTTCCTCTCATGCAGTGTAGGCAGGCAGTTAATAGACAGAGATTTCCTGCTTCAGTAGTGCAGAAAGCTGCCTTGATTTGTGCAATGGGACTTAACTTCCTGGTAAGTGTGGATAAGATGGCACGCTAAACCGTGTTCTAACACCGTGTGTACACATCTCCGCGCACTGCCTCTCCCTTCCTCTCTCCTGCCCCTAGTGCAGGACTTCTGCCTAGTTTAGTTTCATATTCATCAAAGACTCTCAGCTGAGGGTGTGAGCCAGTTTTTGTGGCTTATAACAAGCCATGGTTGATGAAACAAAATAAATGAATGTGTTTTGCTTTTGATATTTTTTAAAAAAATCCAGGTTTTGAATAATTTCTGTCAATATAGCACTGGGTTGATTTCTATAGTTGAGCAACATCTCATGTGTAAGTTGAGCTTGATTACTCCACACCTTCTTGCTTAATAAGTTACATAGTTGCAGCACTTTTTTCCTATTCAAGATCTCAAGCCACCTTAAAACAATTAATGACAATTCTTGCGCTGTTGGGTGCTCCCTGGGAATAATTAAAGCATAATTCTACCAGCTGCTTTGAAAATGCACTCCTTGTATATCATACACTATAATTTGGTGTCAACCTCATTACTTTTCAGTTAATTAGGGTAAAAGTTTATGGCCATCCCACGTCTTTGCAATAAAAAAAATGAAAAGTTCAAGGAAAGAATTTCTTCAAAAGTTGCTTTTGAGACTGTTTTGGATGGGTTCTTGCCTAAAACCTGGCATGCACTGATCAGACATTTATGGATTCCTTGATATCTCTGATCGCCTAGTATGATGAAACAGAGCCGTATTGCTTGGTACAGTGTGTTCTTTGTAGTATGGCTTTATACAAAATGAAGGGAAAATGCTGGACAGAATAAATTAAATTGGCTTAAATCCACAGGCTTGAGATCAAACCTTAATCTCCTGCTGCATAGTAAAATGAAACAATTAACTATCCATAGCAAAAAGACACTGACATGTCAAATTGTCTAATCGTGAAAATTAGTTCCTTATAGGGAGAATTAATCATTTTGACTTGGAATATCATCCTAAATGAAGTGAATACTCTGTTGATCATAAAGGTTTAACAGTAAAGGACTTACTTTCTCCCTCCCTCTCCCCCCTTCCCTCTTTATCCAACCAATCTATTTTTCATTTGCATCCGGATCGCTTTAATCCCTTACCATCGTTTAAAGATGTTCCAGTGGATTTGATCGTCATCGGCAAGACTGGGTAGATGGTGGATGCCCTGAAGAGGTAATGTTTTGACATCCCATATTTAATAGATATTTTTTGTGAACAGCTGGGGCAATAAATACATAAACAAACAAACCTGAGATTATGGTCCTGATCCAGAGATACAGCTTTCCCCTGCTAACCAATGTTGAAAGGAGAATTTGGGGGATCAGCTTCCCCTGGAGATAATCAAGGTTGACAGCTGAACATCTGCTCCATCACTATTGCCATGAGCACCTGATGCTGGTTACAAGTGTGCCTCTCCCTCACATTCCCTAACAGCATCTTTTGGGCATGGATGCTGAATCCCAGAGTATTCTCCATGCATAACGGCCTTGTCATTTTGGAACGCATGCTAGAATAGCTATTAATGACATTTAAAGATTATAAGTAGGTGTTGTTGTTTTTAAGATTTAGCAATGTTTCCTTTTATTAGTTATTCATGGTATTGGAAAATATGAGATGTGTTATAAATGCTGGACAGTAGCAAAATGAGTGGCTTAGTACCAAAATACTAGCCTGCCAATTGTTTTGTAGATACTGATGGACTAGCCCTGGATTATGTTTGGAAGGCCTAGGTCTCAATTTAGTGTGTTACGGAAAAATCTAGGTGCGAGGCTGCTCAGTCACCCAGCTCATCGGGCAGAGCCCGCAGGTACCTGCGGAATAAAGGAAGAGGTCTAGTCACCAACCAGAGCAAATAGCTATAGACCAAAGTTTATTGTGCGACAGGTTCAAAGAGGAATTTTGAACCCCGAGGATGGGGTGACAAGGACTTTTAAAAGTTTCTATCTTATCCCAGCATACAATTCATTAAGCATCATCACTACATCATTGCTACATTAGAAAAGGGAAGGGTTATACATGGTTAACGTAGGAGGAATGTGTTGGGGCAACAGGTGGATACAGGATATGTATTGGAAAGTACATTCTAAGTACCTACTACAAAGGGACAATAGAACTTTGGTTTGCATAGTCTGCCACCTGGGCAAGTCCGGAGGAGTGCCTTTGCCCAGTGATTGACACCTATGAGTACCTTCCTGTGAGTACGTGACCTCCCGCTTGAGGGATTATGGCGGGGACCGATGAAGCAAATTGGCGGTGGAATGAAGGAAACTAGCAAAGGAGTTGATTTTATATGATTTTTAAAGCTAGGTAACTTCCCTGAGCTGTCAAGTCAAAAGGATACATTTAACAACTTTAAAGATGTGTGCGCATCTTTTCCGTAACAAGAGCATGTGAAGTAATGATGACGAATGGGGGTAGCCAGCATGGGACCCTACTATCAGCCCCAGCCAACAATGTTCAGGGATGAAGGGAATTGTGTAGTGCAAGAGCCACTAATGTATGTGGCCCTTCCATGACAAATCAGCATTCCCAGCATAGCAGAGAATCTGAGCATGCCCAGAGATCCTTCCCTCCTCCAACCTGGTCACTGCAATTCATCCTCACCCATCTTATAGATTTCCGCATGGCCTCTCTCCTTTTTTTTTTTTTTTAATCAAGGCAGAGAGTATTCTGTCTTTATTTTATTTTTTTAAGTCTTGATTTAAGGTTTCCATTTTCACTCACTCCGGTCTGACATTTTGTGCTTGCTTTAGATGTCTGTAGATCAGAGACAAATGGCCTTCATTGAGAACCAATTTTCTCCTTTCTTGTTTGTGTTCCCCCCTCCCCCCCTCCCCGCTCTGTAGTCTAAAGATAAGATTTGTGAGAAGAATGTAGACACGACGCAAATGCCTCCTCATACCACTACTGCTATCCAGCAGACAACAATGAGATTCAGAGTTTTAACCACTACCAAAGGAGCCACGACATCCCATCTGCCAACTAGCCTACCCACAGAAGGTAACTTAAACTGGAAGGGGTTATCTGTTGTACTAAGCTTCCTAGGGCGAAAACCTCACATGACATCAGCACATTGGGGGAAAGCAATCCTCGCGTAATGATTCTGATCCAAAGATACTACAAACCAAGGGAGGGCCAGTGGCTGAATGCAGACCTCCTGGCCTCTCTCTCTGATCCATGGAATTCTTCATGAGCCACACCCTGCACCCGCCATGAGGAGTTTTGTCCTCAAACTCTGATCAACCCTCATGCTTGCCTGAACAGAGGCTAGAGAGGAGTTGTGTCAGTGTGGAAGGAAAGCACCCTACTGTACAAAGGTAACATTAACATTCTGGCATCACGCAGGGCATGTCATTTTAGGGGGTCAGGGTGAAAATTAATTTTTGCACATTTCTTCAGTGAGAGACCTTAAAAATACCGGTTTTTTGCTGTGAAGAATTGGAAACTGCGATTATTTTTTGTGATTGGACAACATTTAGCTTTGTAAGTATATTTTTGATGAAGAAGCACATGAACTACTTTTGGAAAAACAAAATAATTTTACTTTTACCATCTGAAAATGACAGGTAATGTTAAAATAACAACAACTGCAAGCCCTTGGCAATAATTTTTAATGATTTCCATGCAGTTCTGCACACAGTTTACTTACCAGGCAAAACTAAATTACATTAAATTAATCAAAATAACTTTTGAATTCCCAAGTCGTGTTACAAGTTCTTAGCACCCCTCATTTGGGGAATTTGAAACTGGAGAGCACAACACCAGCTCCTCTTGATGTCAAGAATCTTTAGTTGCTTCAAAAAACTGGAGAATGCCAAATTACTGTATATTTGTAGTACAGAAATGCTCTGAAATTACTGATGTGCACAGCCGATTGTGAATGTGGGGCCAAATAGAATACCAAAGGTAAACTGGAAATAATAAGAATCACAAGTAAAGCATTATATCAGATTTTTATGCAAAGTTCTGTGTTCTAATAGCTTTGATTTTCTTTTTCTAGATGATACCAAGATAGCGTTACACCTAAAAGATAATGGAGGTAAGAGCAGCTAATCTTTGTGTTCAAATAATGTCAGCTACATTCCATGGAACCACATTAATCTGTCTCAGAGAAACCTTGTCCTGAACCCACAGGAGAATTCACTTGCCTTATTATTATTATTATTATTATTATTATTATTATTATTATTATTTGGTACCACAATACTATGGAAGACATTCTAGGAGAGTACACAGTACGTTATTACGTTATTGACATTATTAAATGCATAATTCATTTCCCCAATTAGTCAAACATACTTGACACTGGTTTATTGATTTATGGAGTATATGCCCTGCTTTGCCTAACTAGGAAAACAAAGGTAGATGTAGGAAAATACATTCTAATAGAGAAAAGAACAGACTAATTTTGTCAGTCATGCCTCCATGACTTAGTTTTTGTTGAGGCCAGGGATGGGGACTACCATTAACCCCAGGCCGCATAGCCAGTGATCAGGGGTGGTGGGATTTAAGAGTCCATCAACACCTGGATGGTCTCATCCCTGTCCTAAGCTCAGATCGGATGAACTCATAAAGGTTCCAGAATTCTGTCTACCACAGTTACCCTTTCTTCTGTCTGGTTCCTTAAATGAGCACTATCTCTTAAGAATCTCCTTCCCACCCAAGGTATCTTGTTAATGCATTTCACATCCTTGCACACTCCCAAAAGTTAAGTGCTCATTCCCTGTGTTCATATGGTCACAGAGGTTGCTGTAGCTTCTATTCTCTTCTTTCTGTTCAAGCATGTGCCTCTGATGTTCCTAGTGCAAAACACATTTCACTTGCAAACTACTTCTGTGTCCAGGACCTGTCAGCTTAGGCAGGCAAAGAGGACTACATTGCTCAACTCCTGACACTATAGAGGAAATTTGGGACAGAATAATAACATTGATCAGCCAGCAACAACCCTCCCATCCCTATTGATGGACTGTAGCTCTTCATCAGTCAACCACAATTAATTCTGTGTTTCAGAATGTCAAGGATGCATTAGGAGTCAGTAATTTCCCCCCCCCACTCATTCTTTCATTTCCTTTTCATTTCATTGTTTATTTTTTAAGTCCCATTGTTTATGTTCTGCTAGTAACCATGCTTGGGAAGCTTTTTTTTCCCCCTTTCCCTTTTCTGAAGACAGAGCAAATCAGCCCTTAATTGCTTCTCATCTGCGCTTCATTCTAGCACATTTCACAGCAAAGGTCAGAGTGTTCAACACTCAGTATGTTCTGATTGTGGCTTTCCGGGTCTAAAGAAGAGTTGCTGCATGCAATTTATAATACTGGAAATCAGTCATGTGTTGTTGTTGTTGTGTTAACAGAAAACAGCAATAGATCTTTTCCTGTTATGGACTTCCTTTTCCCCAAAGGAAGAAATCAAAGCAAAAGCAAACCAAGTACATATAGTGATGATATATGAGATCAGATTTCTGAGTATTTCCATGGCCTTAGCTTTTGCTAGAAGCGTGTGGGCAAAAGGGCTGGTTTGCTTGCCTCCAGTGACGACCTGTAAAACTCTACATTATGCAGCATGGAATTTCAAGTCTGTGGATGGCTGACTTCTCGTGATTATTGTAATCATGCAACTCAGCTTAGAAGCGCTTGATTCCCTCCCGACCCGGTCAGTCTTTACTCAGCTTGTTTACGACCTGAGTTTTCTCTGAATGTCTGTGGGGCACTTCAGTCTTGTAAAAGCGGTAGTTATGTAGAGAGCTTTGCTTATGCTGTTGCTTTCTTCCCAGTACTGCTTGAAACAAACAAACAAAATGGGGAGGAAGAACTAAATGCTAACTGCTACCTTTTAAATTGGGGGCTCTGCTCATGGTACATCCTCAATTATGCGCTGCTTTTTATCCTAGCTCTCAGATTAGGCTGATAAAACTTCTCTAGCTGTGCTTTGTTAGCCTTTCAGGCAGACAATCCCAAGCCAGACAAATAAAAAGCCATCAGCTTTCCCAAAATAAGATCCTCTATTAAACTCTTATCGAATTGGAGAAGCCAGTTATATCTGATCAATGAGGCTGTGTCGTTACTTGGGCTCCGTTGGGGCTCCACAGTCAATACTTGATTAGAAACAACCAAAGGATTCTTAATAATCCTGCCATTCCTTTCACACTGTAACACTTAAGGCCATAATTTATCACATGGTGACTTAATTACATTTTAAATCTTACTGCCGGCTTAGGTCAAACTATTCTGACCTTTTTATTTTATTTTATATTTATGGGGAAATCACCTGTAATTAAAAGCATTAAACCCCCGTGGGAACGCTGAATGGTTTCTCGTTGTAAATTCCCCATTGCTTTTATTGGCTTCTCCTTTCGAAATACAGTTTATCCAAATGTGTGTTGTCTTTTTAAGGTACAGTCTGTCTCGCTATATGTCCTCCAGCTCAGCTTTTTTGGAATATTGTAAATGTTGATTGGTAGAGGCAGCAAAGCAATTCTGTCTGGGTCTGCCCTAAGAAGGGGTGAGGGAGAAATTCAGTTTGTCTTTTAATGCAAATCTATTTAGTTTGCACTTCCAGAAGCAATACGTGAACTGAGAAACAAGCTATCCTCTGAAATTCACACTTCTCTGAAATTCACACTTCTCTGGAGACAATGTGTATTAAGATGCACGTATATGTGAAAATAACATTAGGATACATCACTTTCAGAAATGTGTATGTTAGGCAAAACTGCATACAAAAATGTGTATTTTAGAAGAGGTGCACTTTTAAAATGCTGTTGAATTTTTGTGAGGACTTATTTTTAATTGCAAAAAAATGTGGAAATCTGGTGAACTGAATTTAAGCTTGGAAGAAGGAGAAACCAGAACTGACAGATTGGTCCACCCCTGCTGAAAATTAAGTCCTATCTTGGAAGATTTTTCAACCTCTTGATCCATTTAGACCTTCTGTCCCAACTTTTAAAAAGTGAAATTTCAAGCTAGAACAGGTTGTGCTAAAGTTTAGTAATAGTTTCTCTTATCTGCAATACTTTGAAAGCGTCTGTTGCTCCCCCTGAAAATGTAAAGCCTTGAAAATTATTGTCAGAAAAGTAGTGTCAGTAATTCCAGAATGTTGGTTTAGTAACTCTGCTCCACCACATTGCCCACTACTGCTTCCTGGTCTCATTGCTATCTTCTCATGTTGTTCATCCTTCCTTCTGGCATCATCCCAGATCCCTGCTTTTCCTCCTTTTGTTCATTTCATCAGTCTACTGATTGCTGATTCTTAACTGCACCCGCTTCTGTATTCCAAAACTCTTTTCTGGCACCAGATTCCTTTATCTCAAAGAAGTGTTAATTACTGGACCTATATTCATATGAGCAGCAAGATTATTTCTTCTGAAAATGCTATATACCCTTTTGAAATCAGACTCCGTAATCAGCTGCATCTGTAGGAGAATTACCAAAACCTTCCGTTGTAATCAGGTCTGTGCACAAGCAACTCATTTGCATGCACTTCTGAACCAAGAGACAATCAAAGCCAAGCACAAGAGGAAAAGGAAGAGGAGAGCCCTCGATAGATAATTGAATGGTTCAAAATCCAGCCCCAACCCTCCTGAAAGGTGGAGTGGTAAATGTTTTTACGTATTATTACATTTGGGTGCCACCTTTCCTTCAATGAGCTCAAGGTTCTCCTCCTCCTCACGCTACCCTCACAATTCTGCAAGGTAGGCTAGACCAAGAGATGGAGATTGGCTCAGGGAGCCTCATGGCTGAGTGGGGATTTGAACTAGGCCCTCCCACATCCTGGTCCAGGAACCTAACCACTATACCATACTGGCTCTCCAGTACATTGCATGACTGTTGAATGAACATCCATCACTTTTTGGCTCATCTCAACCATTTTACACTGCTAGTGCTTATCAGCAGTCTTGGTAACTGCTAAAAATAATATAAACTTGTAAGTAAATATCTATACGTATACATACGTGTGTGTGTGTGTGTGTGTGTGTGTGTGCACGCACGCTGTAAAATTGCTTTGTTTATTCTCCAGCATTTTCTGTTTTGATATGGCTAGGTTTCAGTGCTTTTTCATGGTGAGGTTCTCGGGGAAGTGGTGCTATTTGTTTCAAGGAATGATGAGCTGGGTGTTTACTCTTCTTTCTCTCTTAACAAAGGGCTTGTTTAAATTCTCTGCCGGAAGAGAAAAGTGCTGAAGTCATTCATCCTGGGAAAGCAGCCTCCCAGATTAATAATCGTTACTTTGAGGAAATTTAATCTAGTCACTCTGATAAATTGCTTTCACTTCAGCTTGTTTCATGGGGTTTTGGAGTTTGCTCAAAAGTGTGTTGGTATAAAATGCCTGGATTGCTCCAGATTTTTCCGAGCCCCTCCCCCCCCCGCACGCGCACGCTTCACTAAGCACCATTTTTGACTGCAGCCTTTGCTGCTGGAAGTGTTCAGAATAGTGCAGAAATTAAGCAAAGAGATTATTCAAATCACTATGGTTTGTTTCCTTAAGTGATGGGAATGTAACTTTTCTTTCTCCATGCTGGATGCCAAAATCTTATTTTGCTTTGAAAAGCAGTTATATAAATGGCAAGGTGGAAAATGACTGCCATTGAATTTAAACTTGTTTTTGCATCAGAACAGCCTCCAGGATTCAGAATATGCAGAACGCCAGCAGAAGATCTCTGTTGCATTCAAAAGCCTGCATATGCAGGTCAAATAAAAGATGTCTCCTTGATCAGTTTACTCTTTTAGAATTTGTAATCCCAAAAGAAATTGAGATGTGGTCTGCAAATAACATAGTTCTGCAGCAATTATTGTGATTCCAGAGACAATTATTCTAGGGTAAAAGATCTGAGGATTGCAATTTAATTTTCATTTGGTTCATAGAAGGAGAATTCTTTGGATAGTACTTTGTTGCTTTCTGATCTTGCCTTGTAGGCTAATGCTCAGTGATATCCATGCAACATTACTACTGCATTTTGGGGGGCTGGGGTCTTATAATGGAGAAGAGAGAGAGACTCAGAATGATAGTGGATTCATTTCATTCATTCTACAACTGATTTCAGAATGTCCACAGGATGCAATCTGGGTTATAACTGTGGAGCCTGTTGGTGTTTTCTGCCATCTAAAGTAAGACAGCAGGGGATTGACAAAAGCAGTGAAGTGGTTTTTCTAGAGAATTTTGAATTATAATTTTCCCATGCAAATTTGGGTTATTTACATAAGAAAACCCCCCCCAGTTTGCATCATAAAAAAATGTGATGCCCTGGAGAGTGATCTAATTTAGCATGTTTATTTTACTTGTATGGAGTAAACAAATGTCAAAACTTTGAAACTGCCAACCTTGCATAATAATGTGTTTGCAATGGACATCCATTCATTGTCACTAATCAACTTTTGAAATGGAAAATCTTCCTTGGAAAAATAAAGCACTAGGAAATTTTCAGCCCCACATTACAGGCAGAAGGGAAATCCATTACTGGATACCCTGCTTGTTTGTCTTTTTAAAGTTAAAAGCAGAAGGGGGTGGAAATAGATCCTGATTGCATCACTGAGGGATCTGGTGGGTGGGTGTGGACTTTTTATCCCAATGCTGTTTTCCTGATCTAACCCACTCCTCCAAATTGTAATTTCATCCTTAGTGGGGGAAATACAGTTACATAGAAATAGCAGCTTCCAGTGGGGGGACAATTTAGATTGCGAAATAGTACAAAGAAAAAGATTTTATAATTCTTCTCTGGAGTCTCATAGCTACACTGGCTCCTTTAGCTTTAGCATCCTGTTTACTTTGGTCTTCAGGTAGAATTATTTCATTTTCTTGCTACCTGAGATCCTTCAACTGCAGTTGCTAGTAGCTGAATCTGGAAAGTTGTCCAGACCTTCCTTTCCCTGTGTATGTAATAAAAAGGCAACTTACCTGTTTATTGAATTCCTGAGCATGTTGTTTTGTATCAGATGTTGCCAATAATGTATACCAACCTTGTGTTGTTATTGTTATTACGTATTTATTAATACCCCATCTATTTCCCTGACATGGACTCAAGGTAGCTTACAAATAAAAATAAGAACAGCTAAAAACATAGAAGATTTTTTTTTAAAAAAAAATGAACGTGGAATGAGAGAGAGAGAGAGAGGGAGAGAGAAATCTATTAAAATAATACAAATAATTACAGCAAAAACAGCACAGCATCAGCGCTTTCATCAAAAGCAGTCAGAGACTTAAGTGCACTCTCTTGTGGTCACCTTAATTGCAAATGAACTTTGCAGAGATGGTGAGGAGTGGAGCCTCAAGAAGCCAAACAGGGTTCCATTGTCCTGGCAACATCAGATAAGCTGTCGTTAATGTAATACATTATTTTCACCCGCAAAAGGTTCTGAGGTTGCTTCTTCCTTCCCTTCTTTTCTACTACTTTGTAAGGAAACTGTCTGGTGCCATCTCTGCCAGCGAAAAGTTTTTCAAAGTTGACAACCTTTTTCATTGTCTGTGCAAACAGAGTAAAAATGATTTCCCTTTTACATTTTAACCTTGAGGTTATCAATTTATGGGACTTCAGTTATGCAGATCATTTGTTTGTATACCATTTGACACTTAAAAATCACACATACACGTACCTCACGTTCCTTTTGCATTTGGCATGCTGATCCCTTTGTCCAATATACAGGGAGCGCTTCATAAGCAGAGGCTGGCAGAAATACTGACAAGATGTTGGCATTTGTATTGTCTGGAAGTGACAGAATTCTCATTTTCAAACCTGGATGCTAAACACTGTATGAATATCAAATGGATAGGATTAGGTTTTTATGGTTCTTACTCTCTTAGCTTGTGGTTTTGTTGAAATCGGGCATTATCTAAGATGTCTGTGGCCTGAATCTCTTTTTAATAGACCTTTGCTTGTATCTACTGTGAAGAAGTTTAACTCACACATACTGGTGCCACAGGAAGATTTGGACTGCAAATTGTGAACTCTTCGAAAAGGTGTCAGTCTCCTTGTTAGGGCCTATTTAGTAGCTCCTTATTGGTGGGAATCAGAAATACACCACAAATGGACTGCTTCCATACCACATTATTAAGATCTTTATGGTGACAGGCTAGTGTTGCTGCCTCAGGCCCCTCATTTCTGGTGGTGACCTGTCAGTGGATGTTACTCCAGGCAGCACAAAAGCAGCAAAAATTATTAATAACAAAACTTTTAGAGACCATTTTCTTGCAAAAGAATCCCAGAGCATTTCCCAACATACTATAAAACAACATAATAACAACAGCAACAAACCAATTAAATAAATCAACGTATCCATCAGTTATAGAATCATATAAGAAAATAGCAGTAAGCAGGTGCAGGTAGGCAGGGGCTAGGGTATTGTTGATGATGATGATGATGATGATGATGATGATGATGATTATGTATCTTTATTTTGTATCTAGTGATTTGTGTGGAAATTGTTCAGTTTGGTTGTGTACTTTTTGATGTTTAGCTTATTATTTATGACTACTTTTGTTATGCTTGTAGGTATGTAATTTGTTTTATATGTTGTAAGCTGCCTTGAGCATGGTTTTGACCTTTGAAAGACAGCATGCGAATGAAATGATTGCTTCAACAGATCCTAAAACTTCAAACAGCAGAAATTAAATACAGGAGCCCACCATGCTTTGTTGGCAGTTGCCCTTCTAAAACAAGGAAATGGGACACTTGTTTTGAGAACTTCATTTGGGAAGCGAAAGTGAAAAAATTCAGTCCTCCAGTTTGAAAAACCAAAGGCAATTCTGCTGACAAATTCCACTTGGGCAGTGCCCATCTCCCAAGTTTTAGGATCCAGGGGTCTGTGGTCTGTCTGATTTGGATTAGAAGAGAGTGCTTTCACACAGTACTGCTGTGGCATGCCTGCTGTGTAGCCTGTTCTCAAATAAAGCCATGGCCCCAAGCAAGACTCTGGAAAGCAGGTGTCAGTCAAGAGCAGCCAGCATGGAGTAGCATTGTTGTGCATGGGGCCTCTGGGCAGCAACGTCACTGTAGTTTACCAGGTGGGAGAAGAACACCCTGATGGGTGAACCAGATTTGTTCCATTGGTGCAGCACCAACCTCGCTTCCCGCTTTCTTCTCAATAATCTGCAACATCATCAATGCCATTAAGCCAGGTGCATGCCACCACCCTTCCCTGCCAGCTGTTCCTGGTACCAGTGCAATGTTTAAAAATGTTTTAAGGGCATGCTCTGAATGCAATAGACATAAGCTTGAAAACCCATGCACCGTTCATGTATTCTCACCAGGGAGCCACAATTGCAAACAGCTCCCAGCTGAGTAGTGGCCAATATAGCCCCTTCCAGGAACCATAGGATTGCACTCCTGGGTTTGAATAATATTCATTCAGAACTCCAGACCTCTTTTGATGACTCTTATTTATCTGGCTTTGTTGGTCAAATGCCCATGCAGTGTTTTATTTATGGCAAAACAGGCTATTCTACCCAGTATTAAGCTTTCAGTATCCCATTAGATGTCCAGAGCATCCAAAACCACAATTGTTCTTTGCCACTGGCAGCCAGACGCCAAGAAACTAGCTAAATGTACTAAACTTCATGGCATCAGTTTTAAACAGAGTTCTGGTTGGCTAGCTTTTGGAAGACTGTTTTGCTGTTGGTGGTACTTGCTCTGATTTGTCCATTTCTCAACTGTCAACGTATTACAACATGGAACGTGTTGCCATAAAAGTTTAGCAATGGGATGGCTTTTGGCAGCATTTTTATATGGTACTTAGGCACTGTTCCGATCAAAATATTTGAGGACCATTTAATGCCCATCTGCTCCTCTGTAGCACAGAAGTTTGGGAGATGATGCTCTGCACTTGCCCAATTTTATTGACTCTTCCTCAGAAAGATTTGCGATAGCTCGTAACTTGGAAGCTTGCAAGATGTAATGATGACCTGCAGTATTCAATTAATGTATGTCTGTAGGCAGCGGGGCATACATTAGTGGGAAAACACAATGTAGATTCATTATCTGGCTTAATTTGGAAACGCTGGGATGCCTACATTTCGTGTACAAAGAAGGAAAGCCTTGCTGGACCAGGCCAAAGGCCCCTTTGGTTCAGCATCCTCTTCATACAGGGGCCAACCAGAAGCCTATGGGATGCCCACTAGCAGGACCAAAGGCAGGACCAGATTCCCAGCAACTGGCATTCAGAGGCACACTGCCTCCAACAGTGAAAATACAACATAGCCATCTGGCTAGTAGCCATTGAATTTGGCTTATTCTCCATGAATTCTCTTTTAAAGCTATCCAAGTTGGTGACCATCACTATCTCTTGCAGGACCACTGAGTAAATAAGTGCTTTCATTTGTCTGCCTTACTCTTTCCATATCTAGCTTCCTTGGATGTCCCCAAGCTCTACATCTTGATCATGTCCCATTCCTGCCTCCCGCCGTACTCATCTTCTTTCCCTAAACTATATTAATGTTGTTTATTGAGCTAGAAATAAAGAGAGCATTTGGAAATTGTCCATTTTCATTGGCAATATAGCTCACAGGAAAAGAGGCACCTCAGTTTCCTAGGGTAAAACCTTGTTGTGTGTATGGGAAAGAGGGAAAGAAAATGAAATCTTGCCAAGCTTAATCCATTTGGGTTGGAGTTATATGGTGTTCTTTCTTCTTTTTTACAGCCTCAACAGATGACAGCGCAGCAGAGAGAAAAAGCGGGACTCTTCACGCAGGTTTAATTGTTGGGATTTTCATACTGGTCCTGATTGTTGCAGCGGCAATACTTGTGACAGTTTATATGTACCACCATCCGACGTCAGCAGCCAGTCTCTTCTTTATTGAGGTGAGATGTGTTTGTCATACTAGATCACCAAATCTTCCACCTATAACCTGGTCAGAGGCTGGTCTGCTTCCTGTAAGCTGAAACTCTGAAGTGTTCTCAGAGTCCTGATAAGCACTGGCTTTTGTCTTTTCCTGTCATGTTGCTATTGTTCTTCTTTGATTTACAATGCTTGGCCTTTAGCTGGGCAGTATGATAACAGGCAGGGAGTGTATCTCAAGCCAGTTTAACTGCAGTGAACTTGAGCATGACCTTTTCCCCAAAACGACATGTTAAGTGACAGATCTGACTTGTCTGCTGAATAAATTTCTGAGGTCAAGTAGTCTGTCTCCAACCCTGTCTCTGAATCATCTTTGCAATAGTTGACCATATTAATGTGCCTGTGCCATCATGATACACTAGTTAATATCAGTATAACACATGCTATTATCAATAATGGTGGAAATAATTCATCTTAACTCAATGTTCCTTTGTTGCATATTTTCTGTGTCTTACGAAAAGAATAAAGTATCACTGAAGTATCACTGTTCCTATAGGAAAGTAGACAGTAGCCTCGTTCCAGACACGGCTGTGGGCAACAACGTGATGCGTATGACTGCTGGTTTCTGTAGGAATTACATTGCTTTATTTTTCATGCCCTGCTCTTCTTTCCAAGAGGTCAGAGCAGCTTATGTGTGGCTTCCTGGCAGAGTTTCTTTAGGCAACTCAGCCTGCTTAGCTTCAGCAATAGGGCTGTGTCCTGGGTCTTCAGACCGTTGTCTTTTGCAGAGGCACATCCAGTGTATGTGGAAGCACATCTAGGTATAGAAGGGAAGATTTATCTACTTCATTCCTTTGCTGTTTGAATGCGCATGTCAGCATCTAAGGCTAAGCAGACTTGTGCGGATATGCGATTCAGTGGATTAACCAATCAGTATGTTGGTCACTCATTTAATGCTTGCCTATGCAAGCAGAAGTGTGGATCCACCGCACAGCTGCATGCAAGGAACAGGTATGAAGAGAAAAGCCTTTTCATCTGGACAAGCTGCTGAATTGGAGTGAAGATTCTCATACCACACAGCACTGCTCTCAGTGTTATTGTACTCTACTCGTGTGGGTAAAGTGGTTGTGCCTCACTGGGTTCAACTGAAGGTAGAAATAATTCACATAAGCAACACAATCCACCTCCACAGCTACCATTCTGGACCATTCTGCATGCTGATCGTCATCAAGGCAATTTCTCCATGGGAATGCCAACATTGTTGCTAGGCGGATGGATGGATGGATGGATGGATGGATGGATGAATCAACAAATCAAATGCCAAATGATTTCAATATGAGCATTAATCTACAACCCTAGACTCAAATGAGACTACTTTTGAGTAGACGTGTCTCGTTGGAATATTCACAGCTCTTTCACCAGTCTGTAGAGCCCTCTTCCTTTAAAGGGGGGAGTGGCTTCATGACCAACAACAGTGACAGAACTGTGGGGTTGTTGATGGAGGTGGAGAGAGAAGACTCAGTAGTTCCCAAAAATGAAAATGAAACTTGTTTGTTTGTTTGCTTGATTAGCCCTAATACTATCATTTCCCCTTTAATAAATATTGTAATGTAGCAAGTTATCACAAGAACTTGTTTAGTAAATTGGTAGTAAAATTGCAAGTAATCTAGCGAAGGCCCCTCATAATTTACATTTCTCTGCGTGCAGCAAATAACAAAAAAAAAAAGATGTTTAATGTAATGGAGACACCCCCCCCCATGATAAACTGTTATGTTTCTGGTTTGGCAAGCCTCTCAGCATGCAGAATAGTTTCAGGCACCCTTTCTGTGTGCATTGGTGGACAAAACGACATGTTTCTGAAATGATCTCCACCGCAGACATTATGAGCTTATTGTGGAATAAACTCATGGAAGGAAATGCATATAAAGAGATTATTTAGAATCTCAGCAAACTAACATTGAATCAGAGCATACACAGCGCTCGTAATTGCTGTAACTGAATTCTTGTAGTAGGTAAAATGTACAGCATTATTGGTGTACATAAAAAATTATATAGCTCCTTATAAGGCATAACAATATGCTTCTCAGTTTCATCAGGAGCCATGGGGAAAATAGTCATTAAATGCCAATATACCCATATTCCTTTGCTTGCGCAATATGTGGAAATCATTAAACCCCAGTGAGCACATCTGTTCAGTTATTCTATCACCAATCTTCTCCTTCATCACTTATCCCCTAATCTTTATCTCCCTGTGGCATGTGCATAACAGATCTCTCCCACTACTTACCGTATTTTTCGCACTATAGGACGCACTTTTTCCCCTCCAAAAATGAAGGGGAAATGTGTGTGCGTCCTATGGTGCGAATGCAGGCTTTTGCTGAAGCCTGGAGAGCGAGAGGGGTCCGTGCGCACCGACCCCTCTCGCTCTCCAGGCTTCAGGAAGCTATCCCAAGTCTTGCAAGCCCGGCGGGATGTCCCGCGGGCTCGCAAGGCTTGCGGGCAGCAGCCTGCACCCAAAAGCTGGGGACAGCGGGGAGGCGCAGAGCCGCCACCCCGCTATTCCCCGACCTGATCTGGAGGCTGGCGGGGGGAGAAGCAAGCCTGCTTCTCCCCCCCCAGCCCCACAAGCTCGGGGGATAGGGGGATGGCGAAGCGCCGCCATCCCGCTATTCCCCGACCTGATCTGGAGGCTGGGGGTGGGAGAAGCAAGCCTGCTTCTCCCCCCCACCATCCCCACAACCTCCAGATCAGGTCGGGGAATAGCGGGATGGCGGCGCTCCGCCATCCCGCTATTCCCCGACCTGATCTGGAGGCTGGGGGTGGGAGAAGCAAGCCTGCTTCTCCCCCCCCCAGCCCCACAACCTCCAGATCAGGTCGTGGAATAACGGGATGGCGGCGCTCCGCCATCCCGCTATTCCCCGACCTGATCTGGAGGCTGGGGGTGGGAGAAGCAAGCCTGCTTCTCCCCCCCCCTCAGCCCCACAACCTCCAGGCTTCAGGAGAGCCCCACCGCCAGCCCCACAAGCTCGGGGGACAGCGAGAGAGGCGCAGCGCGCCCTTCCCGCTGTCCCCCGACTTGTCTAGAAGGCTGGCGGGGGGAGAAGCCTGCTCCTACCCGTTGCCAGCCCCGCAAACTCGGGGGACAGCGGGAGAGGCGCAGCGCGCCTTTCCCGCTGTCCCCCGACTTGTCTAGAAGGCTGGCGGGGGGAGAAGCCTGCTCCTCCCCGTCGCCAGCCCCGCAAACTCGGGGGACAGCGGGAGAGGCGCAGCGCGCCTTTCCCGCTGTCCCCCGACTTGTCTAGAAGGCTGGCGGGGGGAGAAGCCTGCTCCTCCCCGTCGCCAGCCCCGCAAACTCGGGGGACAGCGGGAGAGGCGCAGCGCGCCTTTCCCGCTGTCCCCCGACTTGTCTAGAAGGCTGGCGGGGGGAGAAGCCTGCTCCTCCCCGTCGCCAGCCCCGCAAACTCGGGGGACAGCGGGAGAGGCGCAGCGCGCCTTTGCCGCTGTCCCCCGACTTGTCTGGAAGGCTGGCGGGGGGAGAAGCCTGCTCCTCCCCGTCGCCAGCCCCGCAAACTCGGGGGACAGCGGGAGAGGCGCAGCGCGCCTTTCCCGCTGACCCCCGACTTGGCTAGAAGGCTGGCGGGGGGAGAAGCCTGCTCCTCCCCGTTGCCAGCCCCGCAAACTCGGGGGACAGCGGGAGAGGCGCAGCGCGCCTTTCCCGCTGTCCCCCGACTTGTCTAGAAGGCTGGCGGGGGGAGAAGCCTGCTCCTCCCCGTCGCCAGCCCCGCAAACTCGGGGGACAGCGGGAGAGGCGCAGCGCGCCTTTCCCGCTGACCCCTGACTTGTCTAGAAGGCTGGCGGGGGGAGAAGCCTGCTCCTCCCCGTCGCCAGCCCCGCAAACTCGGGAGACAGCGGCAGGGGCGCAGCGCGCCCTTCGCGCTGTCCCCCGACTTGGTTAGAAGGCTGGCCCAGCCCCGCAAACTCGGGGGACAGCGGGAGAGGCGCAGCGCGCCATCCCGCTGTCTCCCGACATGGTTTGGAGGCTGGCGGAAGGCTTCCTCCTCCCCCAGCCCCGCAAGCTCCCAGAGCGATGCCAAAGCTGCGTGCAGCTTCGGCATGGCTCTGGGTCCCGTTCTGGGGGAGGGGGAAGCTCGGGCTTCCCCGCCCCAGCCCCGCGCCTGGCGGGGGGGGGAATAATTTTTTTTTGCCTTTATTTCCCCCCCCCCAAATCTAGGTGCGTCCTATGGACCGGTGCGTCCAATAGTCCGAAAAATACGGTACTTGCTCACAGCATCCAGAACTTTCTTTCTTTTTTTACAGTCCCAGTGGGTTGCTGTGCACGCATACAAAATCACATAACACTCCCCCTCCCATTGTTTTTAGTAACACTTTCACCGTAAATAAATACCTTAACTGGCTGTTTTCATTGTTTGGAAGACAAAGGTGTTCTGCAGCCATGCTTGCCATGTGCATTCTGTGGCTGCAGTCCTATATTCACTTACCTGAGAGTCTCATTGCACAAGTCCCCCAAGTACTCAGTGAGGCTAACACCTGAATAGACTGGATATCTTTGTTAGATGTTAGAAGGCTATCCAGGAGAGCTTCTTAATTCGATTGGTGTTCTCTGCCCAGTTGGTGGTGTGTTTGCTGTTGTGCTTATAGTATTCATTTGAGTGCATGGCAAAGAGAGAAGCCGGCTGGTTTGTTTTTCAAAAGGCAAATAACAAGTAGCTCATTTCTGTTTTAAGGACATCTGGACACTTAAGCAATAAGCTGATCTAGTTGGAAAATTCAGTTTAGTTCAGTTCAGCAAGCTTTGTTTTGTTTTTTTAAGATTCTCCCCCTCCCAATATTCTTTATTGAGTTTGATTATTAGTACAGTTATTCCATTCATTCTTCAAAATATAATAAGGTACACAAAGAAAAACCAGAATAACTCAACATCAAATCACACTTTATCTTAAGTCTTTAGAGATGACTTCCCTCCACCTCACTGCGGGTCCTTACTTCTTCTTTTTCTTTTTAACTGTGTCCTTTCTCAACTTTTAGTTCACTGATCTTACATGGCGTACATTATCTGTCTGTTATCTAATTTGTGAAAATTAATCAAACATATTAAGGATTTTGTTTGGGAACAATGTTTTTCTAAGTATACTCGGTAACACTCCCACTCAGTTTTAAACTTTTTGTTTGTTTGGTTCCTGATTACATCTGTCGTCTTTGGTACCAATTTCAAAATCCTAGATTCCACCATTGCAATGCAGGACAGAGATCATAAGGAGAACCACAAAAAGCACATGTAGTTTGACAAAGATATGTGTGAAGAAAGTAGATAATGTTTTGTCATAATTGTCCCATGGCCATTTCAGCAGTTCATCGTGGCTGCCCTTTTAATCATATGCCCAGGGAGAATTAAAAGAAAAAGTGTAAAACACATTGAGCTTTAACAAATTAATCTTTAGCTAACTGAAATGTTACCATTTGAACAGCTAGTGTGAAGTAAGACCCTCATTGAAGAAAAAGAAGAAAGTACCCAGCCTGTGAGCCAGCGTGGTGTAGTGGTTAAGAGCGGTGTACTCGTAATCTGGGGAACCAGGTTCGCGTCTCCGCTCCTCCACATGCAGCTGCTGGGTGACCTTGGGCTAGTCACACTTCTCTGAAGTCTCTCAGCCTCACTCACCTCACAGAGTGTTTGTTGTGGAGGAGGAAGGGAAAGGAGAATGTTAGCCGCTTTGAGACTCCTTCGGGTAGTGATAAAGCGGGATATCAAATCCAAACTCTTTCTTCTTCTTCTTCTTCTTCTTCTTCTCATTTTCCTAACTGCTTCTATACTAAACTGTCACAGACTTCATAACCTAGTGATTACATCACTTAGTTTCCAGAGCAAAGGGGTTCCTCAGTTATCCTGGTACTCCAGCAGATTGCATAATTGCCTTGTTCTTGTGGGGGGGGGGAGAGGAATGGAGCTAAAATCCTTTCCACTGCCCATAGTTGGAGCTCCAGTCCTAGAGACATCTTCTGTAGATACATTTTTTAATTTTTAAAAAAGTTCTACTCGTATGCAGTATATAAAATTTAATCAGTGTTCGTGAAGTAGGTCTGTAATATATACTTCTTCCCCATCCTTTACCTTTTCTTAGTTTACTAGCTACTGCTAAGTCTAAAAATGATGAGAGATTAATTTGGCTTCTCCTGGACTGCAGGAGTGTGAAGAACTGCAAATCCCGCCAGGACAATTAACTTTTATTTGTATTATCAATTAATAGCTGAAATATTTGAGTTTGGATCGGTAGCTCAGTCAAGTGAACTAATAATAGCTCTTATCAAAGTTTCATGGCTTGACAGGTACAATTAGACAACCCTGACTGTTTGCCTATGTTATTATTAATGAGAAACTTCAGAAGCAAAACTTTTTTAAAAAACATAGTATCTCACACATGAAAAGGAGTGGAAAGATGTTCTTTGGACAATTTTCAAGTTTTTAAAGTAACTTGCAGGGTTTTTCACTTCTTGTATGACAGCTGCATCCCATCTTACAGAAACTGATTATTTTTATTTCTGATTTACAACATCAGAAATGGTTGTTTACACAAAGAACATGAACATTCCTAGACAGCTTTGCTGAAATTCTAGAATCCATTTGTGTGTCATCAGGCAAGTTACATAGAACTATTGTCATAATGACTAACTGAAGTCCCATTGATTAATATCCCAACAAACAGTAGTTTAAAGATGCAGAGAGTTGTTTGGAGACACTTATTCCCCTCACAGAACTACAATTTCCGCAGTTCCCTGGTGGAAGAGGATTAAATCACTTGAAAATTGTAGCTCCGTGAGGGGAATAGGGGGTCTCCAAATAACTCTCAGCACCCTTCACATATAACTGTATGGTGGTGATTTAAATGTGTGGTGTGAATGTGGCCTAGTTCTGGAACTGACCCTACATTTTTACATAGATTTATGTAGAGCAGTGTTGGCCAAACATAGGTCCCCAGCTGTTTTTGAACTACAACTCCCATCATCCCTAGCTAACAGGACCAGTGGTCAGGGATTATGGGAATTGTAGTCCCAAAACAGTTGGAGACCCAAATTTGGCCACCACTGATGTAGAGCTAGGGACAGCTTCTGCTAGAATCTGACTGCCTTTGTTTGTGTGTCCACTCTTCTAGCGTCGCCCCAGCAGATGGCCTGCAATGAAATTTCGAAGAGGCTCTGGACACCCTGCCTATGCCGAAGTGGAACCGGTTGGCGAAAAGGAAGGCTTCATTGTGTCAGAGCAGTGCTAGGATTTCTAAGGCAGATCACCAGTACTGGCCTACAGGTGTGAGACATTTACGCTGCCTCTGATGAAAGAAATGGAAATCTAAGCTGCTGTAAACCCGAGAGAGACAGAATGGAGTTCTGGATAAACTTTCTCCAAGAAAAAGGGTATTTCTCCTAGGATACCCGATTACCCTTTCAAAGATATTTTTTTGCCCCCCTCACAGCAAATCACCAAACCATGTTTCAGTAGCACCCCTCAGAAACACCTACAGTAGGAGAATGATGAACACAATTGCCATGCTCTCTAGGTATCGGAGATGTAGAGTGATTCGGGATATAAAGCTTTAGTTCAGAACAGTGCTTCCCTTCTGGATCCAGTGCAGTGACGGTGTTTTTATTCCAGCTGTTACCGGTGGGTTATCCTTTCAGCCCCAGAGGCAATGCGTCTCATTTGACAAGGCTGCTGGTGAGATCAATCTGATGCAGATAACATAGCTCAGCAGTTTTCTACAGTTCATGAGTAATGCAATTTTCATTTCTAAAAATAAAATAAGAAAACTCCACCCAAGTGCAGAAACATGATATACATCTGAAAACAACAAGAATCCTTCTTCTATTCTGTAGGTTTATATCCCATGAACTGTGATTATTATTGTTTTGATCACAACTATATTTCTATAGTTGACAAAGCATTAGAGAGTTGTCAGGGGGTTTTTCTAAAAAAAAAAAGGCGATAAGGTTTTTCACTATGGTGAAATTGGGCTGTCCTGCTGGAATATACAGAGAAATTGGACTAATATTCAGTTTTGATCTTCACAAAAGTGAGACGGAGTCAGCACTGCCAGGTACGCTTGCTTGGGAGTAAGTCGCTTAGGAGTGACCACGCCTAGTATTTAGCTGATAGTTTCAGGGATATTGCTTATGCTCCTGAAATGTGGAATTGAAACAGAAATGGTAGATGTGTCTGGCTGATGCCAGGGGGAAAACAGCCTTGAAACACAAAAGGAAATTATTACCATTTTAAACTCTTGCCATTCTGTCACAGGTCACTTGAGAACAGTGCTGTTGGTTCCACCGCACCCCTCCCCAAGACAAACATTAAATGTGTTGCAATCCCTGCAGATTCATGTAGAAGTATTGTTTAATGCACATAGTAGCTGCATACATACATACATACATGCATATATATATATAATACATATATGCAGGTTTTGGTGTCCTCGGGTGTCTTCCCGTGTAAAAGTTGGGGTGTCTAGGCGACGTTTCGACGAGGTCTCACTCGTCATCTTCATGAAGATGACGAGTGAGACCTCGTCGAAACGTCGCCTAGACACCCCAACTTTTACACGGGAAGACACCCGAGGACACCAAAAACCTGCATTCCTGTACCCGTGAAAATCTACGAAAGCAAATACATATATATATATATATAAATCTATTTTTTTTATAGCTAACACAAGGCAGGCTCTTGTGACTGTTAAGAGTGCTTTTTTGCCATCCGGACGATGGAAATATATTGCATTGCTGCATATTTCCACTGAGTTGTAAAATAATCCTTAATATTAAAATAAGATTTTATGTTGTATAGGGAAAGTGGTTCATTTATCTGCAGTGCTATAACTTTGCCTGCCTCTGGAAGCCACGGTTTCTTAAACAACAAAACCCTTTCCTTCCCTGACTGGGAAAGATAATATTTTTTTAAAGAAAACTCCCAGTGAAATATTCCTTTGGATGGAAAGGGGCAATATATATTGAGCTACTAAAATGTCTATTCAGATTTTGTATGGACATTATTGCATTGTGAAACCCATTCATGAATTTCACCTTCCATATGAACAGCAGCACTTGAATCATAGTAGTTTCAGGTTGTTCAGATACCTTTTCAGGTTGCACCTTTATAACACGGTTCTTTACATTTTCACATCAATACTTGTATGGTTCTGGTTTTTTAAAGGGGGGGAAACAAAACCTCCATGATTTTTACTTGTTATTTCCTTCAGTAAATAATACAATACTGTATTTTCTGTATTCATTATTTCCTCTGTTGGATTCATTTTGCTGTGTGTCCACTAGTCATCCAGAAGAAGATGGGACATTTCTGAAAGCAGTGGTTTAACTACAAAACTGTTAAAAAGCCAGTCATTTTCCTTTCCTGGACTTTTCCATTTCCTGGTAACGAACCAGAACTCGTTCTGTGCAGGGGCCTCCCATTCTTCCAGTGACAGGTCTGTGTGGACGGCTGTATTGTAGAGAAGGAAACAAGAAGTTTATTCACCTGAGGGCCAAGTAGATTACTGGTGAGGAAACTTTTCCAGTCCAAGGGCCACATTCCCTTCTGAGCAACCTTCCAGGGGCCAGTGATAGGGCATGGGGCAAAGGAGCACGGAGCAAGAAATGTAAACACACCTCTCGGTATCCTCCAATTAAACAAACTAGAGGCATTATTAGCATTATTATTATTTTATTAAATTTGTATGCCACCCTTCACCTGTAGATCTCAGGGCTCTTCACAACATAAAAATACAAGATTTAAAAAAAACAAAATACATAAGAAGAAGCAGAAGAAGAAGAAGAAGAAGAAGAAGAAGAAGAAGAAGAAGAAGAAGAAACCAATAGCACACCCCTCCCACACCACACTTAAAAAGGTATTGGATGTGAAACAGCCCAAGGTCCGGTTGAAGGATGTTTTCACCTGGTGCCTAAAGATGAATAATGAAAATGCCAGGCAAGCCTCTCTGGGGAGAGCATTCCACAAACGGAGCCACCACTGCAGAAAAGGCCCGTTCTTATGTTGCCACTCCCTGGACCTCTTGTGGAAGTGGCATGTGAAGATGGGCCTCAGATGATGAACACAGGGTCCAGGTAGGTTCATATGGTTGCGAGGCAGTCCTTGAGGTATTGCAGTCCTGAGGCATTTAAGGCTTTATAGGTCAAAACCAGCACTTTGAATTGAGCCCAGAAACTGACTGGCAGCCAGTGCTGTCGGGCCAAGATTGGTGTTATATGCTCAAACTGTCTTGCCCTGGTGAGCAACCTGGCCACTGAATTCTGCACCAGCTGAAGTTTCCGAACTGTCTTCAGAGGCAGCTCCATGTATAATGCATTGCAGTAATCTAACCTAGAGGTTACCAGAGCATAGACAACAGAAGTTAGGCTGTCCCTGTCCAGATAAACCTGCCACAGCTAATGGAAGGCACTCTGTGCCACTGAGGCCATGTGAGCCTCAAGCAGCAGCAGTGGATCCAGAAGCATCCTCAAGCTACGTACCCACTCTTTCAGAAGGAATGTAACCCCATCAAGAGCAGGCAACCTCCCATCTACCTGGTCTAGGGAACTACCCGGTAACAGTGCCTCAGTTCTGGACTGAGCTTCAGTTTGTTGGCTCTCATCCAGTCAGTTGTCAGAGTTCAAGGGCATCTGGTAGGCTTCCATCTTGGTATCGGCCATTAGCATCACATTCTCCCATATCCTTTTGGAGATGCAAGCCATTGGTGTAGCTGCCTTGCCAATTTGCTTGTCCAGCTCATTGTTTATGGAGAGGTTGCTGGTTATGATGGAACCCAGGTAGACAAAGTCATCTACCACCTCAAGCGTGTGATCACTAATGCTGATGCGTGGAGTGCTGGTGACATTCTGACCGAAGATGTTGGTCTTTGTCAGGCTGATGGTGAGTGTGAAGTCCCTGCAGGCTTGTGCAAAATGGTTGATGAATCTGTAGAGCTTCCTCAGAGAGTGCTGTCAAGGCTGCATCACCTGCAAGCAACATCTCATGGACAAGAACCCGCCATGCTTTTGCCATGGCATGGAGATGCATGGTCCAGATGCTGTTGAACTCCCATCAGCTTGGATGAAGATAAACGAGAATAGGAGCTGGAATCCAATAACATCAGGAGGGCCAAAGGTTCCCTCTCTTACACCCACTGAATACCTTCCATCAGTGGTATAAGAGAATAGTGATAAAGGAAGTCAGAGAAACACCCTCTTGTCGAATGCAGCAATGTGAGGAGTAAATAATATTTCAAATTATGCAATCACACAGCCTCCTGTTTTCAATAGCTGGTAATGTTCTGTAATAACAAATGTACTAATAAGATATGGGGAGATGCATTTTGTCTTTAGTCCCAGAAACTCAGCAGTTGTACTGCTAATTAATGGTGTAGCAAATGAGACTGACATTCTTCAGCCACTTATCTTGTGGAGCCTGCAAAGGCCATGGAGTCATTGCAGCTGCCCAAGGGATTCTGATTTTGCTTCTGGGCATCTTTGATTGCCACAGGCTGTTAATTCAGGTGGCAGGCACCACATGTAGAATCCTGGAAAATGCTCATTCTTACGGATCACAAATACCAGACAGCAAATTATGAATCACCAATAAAATGGGCCTAATGTAACAATTACTGAATGTTCTCTTGCTGTTAGTTTGACGCATGAATGGATGCACAGCATATTTTGCTCATGGTGCCAAGCTTAATACTTGTACCACTTACTAAATTCATGTCACTCCAGAGCCCCGTTATGGCCATTGCGGCACAGTGTTAATCCTTCTCAACAGATGCGTTCCACGACACTGCTCTTAATTCGTCTAGTTTAAGGACCTCTGGTGGTAAGAGTCACATGAGAGTGAATATCTTGGGCACGGGCTATCTTGTGTTGCTTTCAAACGCTTCTATTCCTCTCTGTGGGACGTTCAGAGGAGAACTCAGTGGGTTTGTGCCTTTGGGCCATAACTGAATAAACCACATGTAGATAATTTTACAATGTTGTATGCCACTGACGTGAACGGGGAAATGCCTGTGTCATTTGGCAGCAGACAGTGGGACGGGACAGGCAGCCTAGATACGCTTATCTGCTTGTTAGAAAAACAAAAATTTGAAATAATACAAAAGATATATACAGCAATTTAAATGAAATAAAAATAATGATGTTATCAGGTTCAATCTTTGGTTATTACTCCCCCCCCCCAAAAAAGCACCAGTGTCTAGGTTTTATGGTAATAACCAGTATGTGAGTATTGGGGCAATTCATTAATTCCATTGCATTGTAGAAAATACATGGGTGTCCCTAACTGGCAGGACAACAGGGAAGAGGAAGAGGATCCCAGCAAAGAGTGTAGCCAGGACTGGGACACACTGGGGCAAGCTGGGGATGGAGAAGGAGAGGTTGGTGTTGGAAGTACTCACAGGGTGATGGAGGATGACAAGGGGATGGGGGTTAATGCACAGGAACCAGAACAGCAGGACCCAGAGGGGCCCCTGTCTCCAGGGAACAGCAGAAGGGGAACTCCAGGAGGCTGAGGCAGGCAAGCGCCCACAGCCCAGTTCCCTAGCTGCCCAGGTGGGGCTCACTAGCTCCGGGAGGAGGCGTGTGATTCCTCAGCTGGAGTTGGCTTGAAACAGGTGAGGCTCACCTGTCTCATCAAGCCCAGGTGCTGCAACCAGCATGCAAAGTACTAAAGGGCAGCAGAGCTGAGGTGCTGTTTCTGCCCAACCGCCCATGTAGATGGACCTCAGCTTGGGTGCTCCAGGATTTCTGTGGGACTCTTCTTCCCTTTGGCATGTGGATTGACCCTGGACTGGGGACTTGACATACTGGCTTGCCACCAGGTAGGCCTAGGGTTCAGGACACTGGATCCATTTACTTTGGTCAATAGGCATATTCATGTCACCATGTAGTACTGATATCTATAGGGAAATGCCATTCATGCCTCCTTTGATTCACTATGGCAAATT